TTTGTATTGCATTTGGTGCAGCTGGTCATTTTCTTGGTGCACATGTCATATCACATGAACTTTAAAAGTCACTTTACAGCTACAAATTGGCTTTGGCAGAAAATTGGGGGGGGATTGTTTTGAGCCAGGGCGGTTGCATTCAAAACCCTAAAATATTCTGTCATTTGAGAGTGAGAGAATGAGAGTGCATGCAGTTATGCCAACAAGACTAAAATTTTACTTGTTGTAAAGACTGCCAGTCTTAAGCAGATATAAATTAGAAGTAGCTGAGGGCAGAGCTGCCTTCCTGGTAGGTTAGTGAATTGGAATGTTTACATATTTATTTCTGGTGTTAGGCTTAGGATGAGTAGACATCAGCTATGTTAGATGGAATACTTCAATAAGGGACTCACCAGTTGTAGGGTCGATTCCAGCAGATTTCCACATGCACTAGAGCCCTTAGTGAGTGTCAGCGGTAAAAAGACCTTGCTGGCAACTTGTGCAAAGTTAAATTCATCGCATCCCAACTTGCATTTCCAGTTTTGCAAGACACTGTGTAAGTAATTGAAGGTATTGTAGTGGATTAGATGCTATACCTATCCTACCACTCCATTGAGCAAAGTTTAGCTATAATATTAAAATAATTATACCCTACCTTTTGACTCACCTTTGAAACCTTCCTCCAAATTGTGGCTCTTCCTGCAGTGGATGAGCCACTTAAGTTGGAGGAAGGCTCCTTAGGTTAGAGAAAGGCTACCTGGAGGATGATTGGATCCATCCCAGTATACCTAGTGTTATTTTTTGTGCAAGTGGATTTGCATTATTTGTTTACATTTTAATTTACACATCACTGGATCCAACCCCTAAAGTGAGCAACAAGATCAGGTTTCAGCTGACACAACAAGTTGGGGGCATTGACTCCAAATACAACCCCTTCCCTATCTGTTCTTGTAAACATTTAAGGAGTTTGATTCAACCTAATAACTAGATGCTCAACATAACCAGATAGGTTTTCTGTGAAGCAGTAATATTTTGGAGATGGGAATTGCCTTGAGTTCTTAGAACAATGAAGAATAGGCTGAATATAGAAAAAAAGGAGGTAGGGTAGGATGTTTTATAGCTGAGTGCTTTTTGAACATTATTATGCTCAGAAACACTTTTATCATTCAGTTTCTGTCAACACAAACACATCTAGCTGTAACGATTTCCTCACCTTCCTAGAGGCTACATAAAAAGTTGTTTGCCTGGGCTACAGCTACCTTTAGACGGCATCTGAAGGTATGGATTATTGGGGGGGGGGATATTCAGAGATTATTTAGCAGGGTGTCTCCAAATTTAGCTCTCTTTTTTTGCTGTGGTAGGGATATACGGGATTCAAGATGGGTAAGTTTGTGAATGGATTATCTGGGTAAGAAGGATGGAAGTGAGCATAAATCAGGAGGAAAGTCTCTTAAAAACATGAGCCCTCAATGGTCCATCTAGTGCAGCATCCTGTTTACCACATTGGCCAACTAGTTGCTTCTGGGAAGTTCACAAGGAGGGCTTAAAGGCTAAAGCCTGTCTCTGTTTGCATCCCCTGGCAACTTACATTCAGCAGTACACTTTTTCTGAACATGGAAGTTTCATTTGAACAGCCTAGCTCAGGGGTCCTCAAACTACGGCCCGCGGGCTCCATGCGGCCCTCTGAAAACATTTATCCGGCCCGCAGGCAGGGAGCCAATCCCCGGGGCAGGAAACCCCCGAGCAGGAAATCCCGGCGCTGCTGCCCAGCGAGGCGCTCCTGGACGGCTCCGGGAAGGTGCTCCTCCTCATCCGCAGGTAGCAGGGGGGAGGCGACGGGCCCCGTCTGGCCGGCTGGACTGCAGGGCTGGGTGGCGGCAAGGGGAGGGGGTGCGTGGTTGGGGTGCGGGGGGCCGGGCAAGGCACACCTCCCCCCCCGGGATGTTGCTACACTGTGGTGGCTCAGGAGGGCTCAGAAGCCAGAGCTCCTCTCCTGCAGAGCGCATGAGAGCGAGAGCCGGACAAGAAAAGGCCTCCAATCAGCTCCGCGGTTTGTTGGGGGGGTGAGGGGGACAGCCCCCACCTTCCTTGGGCTGCGGCTCGACTGGACCTGGGATCGCCTGTCTGCCTCCCTCACTCACTGACTCCCCCCTCCCACCCACCAGGCCGGCCCGCCTCTGCTATTCCCGTGCGTGGCGATTTGAAGCAGGCACGGCGATGTCTCTTTCCTGCTCACAAGTAGAAGGCAGGGCAGAGCACCGGAGGGGATTGTTGCAGCCCGCGGGGGCAGGTGGCTGGGGCTGTGCTCCGGCCCCACC